TTTGTCTGCTTTCTGTCTGTCCATGAGTCTGTTTGTTCAAAAACGTCTCTTAAACGGTACGAGCTAGGACCATCAAATTTGGTTTGCTGCTTTCTCTTATCATAACTTAAAGTAAGGTAAAGGTTTGTGCCAGGACAATGGGATGTATCTCATAAAATGGAAAGGGAGGGGGTCTGGTAGGAGGGACAGTTATACTGTAAAATGACCACAGGGGGGTGGCAACAGGCCAGAGATGGGTACCCGGATAGCTATAACCCCACTGGGACAGCTTCTGCTATATATTACAGAAAGTGTGTCTGTTTGTGTGCCTGTCTGTTCTCCAGCCAGGGCCATGCACTGCTCCCCTGGCTGTGCTACAGACAAGCACTTCTCACCTTGCCCCAAGCTGCTGCCATGACAAAGGGCTGGGGTTGTCCTATTTCCACAGGGTAGCCTGCATACTGAACCCCTCATCCCCAGCCCTACCCCAGAACAATAATTTAAATGACGAAAAACAAAACTTATTTGAATTAAGGATCCAAGCAACGCCAGGTAAATCTTTAAACAAACAATTATCCATCAAAATTATTTATGCTCCTCTCCACCCGAAATTATACAGGCAGTCTGGGTCATGGCTCAATCTATGTGTTCTCTGGTTTGCCAAGGTTTACTGTCTGCAGAATGGTGATTTAGTTTCTAACGTCTCTCCATTGCCCATTAAGAAGCATGGCCCTGTTCTGAGAATGTGAAATTCACTTCCAAGGAAAGCCTTATGCAAAGAGGGTACCCTGCATTAACAGCTTACGTAGTGCTTACGGCCTTGGATGAATGCTTTCTGCGCTTTCCGTCTGAGACCAATCTCTCACCGTTCCTACAGGCTATGGAATTATATGCTTATTAATGGGGATGGGGGCCTTTGTGGGTTAATGCATTAGGATTCCCTACCTCAAACCCTGGCTTAAAGCCATGTCAGTGGAAGCAGTCTGCTGTCATGCTGTTCTCTCGTTGTGTATATCACAAAACTACCAGATGATCTGATGTAGCTGATAGGCTGTGCGACCCGGCATTTGAAGAGTGCATGGGGGCAGGGTTCCAGTGTAAAACAAAGGTGCTTTGGAAAAGCTGGATGAGTGGGGACAGCAACATGCAGATTACACCCTAAACATTGCTCCAACCAATACTATCCAGCCCTGAATCCAAGGAGAAATTTTGACCCATTTAAAAGATACACAAGAAATAGACTCATTCCTGGGGCTTCTAGTATGAGAGGCACAAAGGCTAGAGGATTATCAGGAGCTATTAAAATGCATTTAGCTTTACTCTCTACCCAAGAGATCAATCAAGTTAAAAGGGAAAAATCTCCAATTTTAACTGAATAGAAAGCTCAGTTAAAGAATCACGAAACCCTTAGAAACTGCTCATGGTATCTATGAGTTTAATAAATAGCCACAAGCTAATAAATGCTTTCACCAAATGCTCTTGTCTTGCAATTCACTGACGATTCAGACCTTGCTTGTGAAATAGGCTGCTGCCTTGATTAGCATTAATGGTACAGGATGTTAGAAGACATTCTAAGGACTCAGTCTTTTACTTAGGTTAGCTCCAGCTGAAGAAATGGGGTTCTGAATACCCATTGAGCATTCAATGGGACATGCAGATGCTCAGGATCTCGTTTTGGCTGTCATTGTAAATTACTTGGTTTCTGGCCCAGGTCTCTGAGAGAGCCCATGAAGTTCTTTATCACTTTACTCCCTGTGCAGTCAGACGCCTCAAGATCTCCTTTCTGACAATCCCGAGCAAATTCTCTCTCTAGGAATGCAGTGATCACCCTCTCCATACACTGTTTAATATTCCCCCCTTCCTGCTGCAAGATCCTCTTTTCACATCTTCACATTTACCTCTAATTTGGAATTAAAAGGACATGATCAAGCAACATGCATGGCACCGACAGAATTGAACCTGGGACCACTGGAGAGTAGCAAATGCGCCTCTATTGCATGAGCTTAAAAGCCAGCTGGTTCTCTGCCAAGACTGTAGAGCAGTTTCATTATTCTCTCTGTAAAAGGCTGCAGTGCCACAAGTTGGAACAGTGCATCCCACCCAGCAGGTATGTGGGTTAGACATGCAGAACCCTATGCTCTACTTTTCTGTTACCATGGAACAAATTATCCAGGAAGGTTAGACTGGGGGATTCAGCATCTCTCTGCTAGGATAAGAAATCATCATTTCATTTTAAAACCCTGCACATCCACCTAGACTCAGCTACTATGGGTGGAAAGAAAAATCAAGGGAATTCAAAGGGCTGAATCATAAGCACAATAATAATATTGCCCAGGCAAGGAAACCACACAGTTAACAAGCTGAAAACTTTGAATAGACGAAGCACAAAAGCAAAAAAGCTATAAGCAGAAATATGGGAAATCTTGACCTTCATGAGTAAGTAATTCTCACACCACAAATTCCCAGTGATCTCTCTCTTTTAAAAAAATAAAATAATAAAGGATTAGCTGAGATTGTGACCCTCACTGGTGGATATGGGCCTTGCCACTGTCATCCACGGGTGGGTCTCAAGATTAGAGTATTGCATTGCACGCTACATGAGTCTAGAACTTAAAATCACCCTGGTACTCTAACTGGTGCAGAATGCAATCGCTTGCTTCCTGAATAGGGCAGCTTGCTGGGCGCATATGAAACCACTGCTCTGGGACCTGCACGGGCTACTCATTGGTGGAGTTAAAGGTGTTTGTTATGGCCTAACTGAAGGATCATCTCTGTCCACATTGTTACAGCTACCGTCAGCTGTGTGCCTCAGATGGAGCCTTCTCATTAGGAAAAGAAAGAGGACACTGGCAGGCTGTTCTGTGACTGCCCCAAGACTCTGGCTCTTCAGTGAAATAGCCCAAATTTTGTGACCTTCTGGGGACGTTGGAAAAGATACCTGCTTAACAGGATTTGGGAGCAGGGACTCAGGCCAGACTTCCCAGAGCATGAAGTGGTAGAAAAGGGTTTCTGTGGGAGGTGACTGGCCAGCTGGATTCCTGCTTTAATGCTGCTGGGATTTTATTGTGTTAACTACGTTAGCGTGCTCTGAAGTTTGGGAAGGCATCTTTCTACATGATTCAAGTCTAAATAAATATAAAGAACTATTACTGTGCTTATGATAGATGCTGGGGAAATAGACCTAGAAACTGAGATTCTTCTTTTTATCCATTAACCGGTATGAGCAGAGCTCGCTTCCCCCAAATTAGCACATACAGGAAAAGAGACTCCATGTGTGTTTAGACCATAGCTATGCTTAAGACTGTTGCTGGCATAGTAATGTTGGTTAGGGGCATGACGTTTAACCTTTTAAGACTAGCAAAAGCCCTAGAAGTAGATGCCGATAGACTGGCAAAGAAAGGCTTTAGTTGGGAGAGCTGATTTTGTGTGGAGAATGGGTGTAAAGCTGGGTCTACACTACTATAGCTAAACTAGCAAATCTTTTCTAGCGTTACGAAGGCCTTAGTGCTTGGCCTCCTTTCTTTGGCCTCTTTCCAATACAACTAACAATTGCCACTCACCTCACGCAAGCAGCCCCCTTTGGCTGAATGCCTGCACCTGTACTCCCTGCTGTAGCAGGCCTCTTGCAACCAAGCTCTCTGGCCAAGTCTGAGCCTCTTTCGCTCCAAGGAGGATCTGCCTCACTGGCCCAGCAGCTGCCTTTAACTGGCTTGCTGGGCTCTGATTGGTGGCTTCCTTTTGCAACTCTCTATTTTTCTTGGAGGACCTCTCTAAGTTTTGCTGGGCAGATTGTGGCAAGGCCACAAGCCTCCAGCAGGGGGCTTCAGGGCCTGGTCCAGCCCATCACAAGCACTGAGAACAGTAAATGGATTCACCATTCATATTCATGAGACGGTACCCAGCCTTGATGGCTAAGAACCAGAGGTAGATTTGAGCCAGTGACCTGGAGGTAAAAGGCTTAGCATCATGGTCATACTTCCTGAGTCAGCCAGGCCCCCACAACTGCCAGCCACTTTGAATGGGACATGGGGTTCAAAATGTTCTTCATACACATCACTCTATGTATTACAATGTTCCTAGACCAGTCATTTTAAAGACCACTATCGTTTCAGATAGCTAGACAGTTCAGATTGGCAGAAAAACTGTAAACACAAAAGCGAGATGATTTGATATTTGAGCATGACCTGATACACTTAGGAAGTTCTTCAGCCTCAGAGCCTGGGACATGGGGTTCAAAATGTTCTTCATACACATCACTCTATGTATTACAATGTTCCTAGACCAGTCATTTTAAAGACCACTATCGTTTCAGATAGCTAGACAGTTCAGATTGGCAGAAAAACTGTAAACACAAAAGCGAGATGATTTGATATTTGAGCATGACCTGATACACTTAGGAAGTTCTTCAGCCTCAGAGCCTGATACTCGTTAATGTCCCACATTTTACTCAGCTTGTAATCCTGGGGAGGAAAGCCTGGGACCATCCAATGATCAAAGAACATTTGAAATGACAGTCTGAGGACAAAAGGAGAACAGCACCTTTTGTGTCGGACTAGCGTGGAAAAAACAGGCAGAACTGGAGTGCACACAAGTGCAGTAAGTTATTAATAAAATCTTCTTAAAAACACAGGGAGCAAATCAAGATACACTTCACAAAGCCTCCGGTAATTTGTTTCAGGGGCATTCTTCATGCAATTAAGTATTTTTTCCCATTGCTATTTCACAATCATGGCTTATTAAATTTTGCTGCTTCACACTGAGTCAAGTAATAATTAATTAGTCGTGAGAGGGTTCTCTAATTAAAAGTATCCTCTCTGCTGCTATGACTCTTTTAATGATATTCATTAGGATTAGCACCAGCAACACAAATGGAAGAGGCTATTGTTCAATCAGCTTTCTGTCTTACATATATTTACAAACAGCAGTGACTACAGATGTAGGCCAGGTCTACACTAGGAGGCAATGTCAAACTAAGATATGCAACTCCAGCTACATGAATATCATGGCTGGACTCAGCGTACCTTAGATCGAGTTGTCACAGCAATTCCACTGTGATGGTAGGGGGTGAAACTCTCCTATTGATTCCCCGTACGCGTCTCGATCCGATGGAGTACCTGATTCGATAAGAGCACGATCAGCAATTAATTGAGTGGATCTTTACTAGACCCACTAAATCAACCCCTGGGGGTTTGACCCCTGCAGCGTCGATCTCCTGGTAAGTGTAGACAAGGCCTAAGAGCCCTTCTCTAGGAAGCCCCTACTTCCTTTGAAGAGAGTGCAGTGCATACCTCCTTCCAGGGCTGGGTCCTGGGTTAGTGCTATCAATGTCCCTGAGTCATTCTGCCCAGGTAGCTTTTAAAGACTAGACTGTAAGCTTTTTGAGGCAGGGGCTATCTTGTTGTTATCCATATGTATGGCACCTAGCACTATGGGGCCCTCCTCTCTGATGAGGCCTCTAGGGACTAGAGTTCCAGGAGACCTGCTTTTAATCTGGAAACATTCTATTGGGCCTGCTTCTGATGTCATGCTGGTGTAAATTGTCACTCTGTGGCTGTCAATGGCCTTACACTGGTGTAAAACCAATGTCTATGAGATTGGGATAAGACCCATTGCTATCATGAGCAGTGGTTGTATGGGTATGAGTATGGCTTATTCGTAGCTCATGATCATCCAGTTAGACCTCCTGTACATCTCAGGTACCAGAAACTTCTCTCTCCCATCCTCACCCCTCCTCTCCTGTCATAGACCCTTAACCTCTGGCAGAGTCAGGGAAGCCCTCAAATCTTGCTTTAAAGACTTGAGGGAAGTTACAGAGAACTCAAACCAGCAAGTGACCTGTGCCCCACACTGTAGAGGAGGGGAATCCTCTTTCCAGAGTCTTGTGCACATAAAGGCTGCAAAATCCAGCCAGAAGGGGCTACTTAGGAGAGACTGGGCAGAGACTAGCACAGGTTATACAAAAAGTGTGGGATTTTCAAAGCCTGTTCAGTTTAATATGAACTGAGTGTGAAATTCCCATAGACTGCTTTGAAAACTTTGGCCTAAAGTTCCAATACATATAAGCAGTGTTTGTGTAAGTGGAAATCTGATGATCCAGATTCAAAGTAAAGCAAAAGGTTGCTTTCCCAGGCAGCAAGGAAAGAAGTGTTCTTCCTACTGACGTGTGATTCATGTCGATGATTTGTCGGAAAAGCTGTGCAGTTGTCGCTGCATTCTAAATGGGCTTCCTGAACAAGAGATTGATTTGCACACAAAGAAATCTTGCCTTGTTTATGCAAGAAGTTTTTGGGGGTGCTATTTGTGTGTGTGCGTGTTTGGGTCTATCTTACCTCTCGTGAAACATATCACCTTGCAAAATGTGCTGAACAAAGATAACCTGGTGAAAAATATCCTCATGGTTTTGAGAGGCAAAGTAACCAATCTTGATATTGACACTGAAAAATAGCAAGTGGTTTTGAGACACTGAATGATGAGGCTATTTGCCATACACTGTCTCTGGAGACTTTATCTTAGGAAACAAGGGTTTTGATTTTTTAAATTTTATACTCACAAATCAAATAAAAAAGCAGCAAGAAAATGTAATCATACCTAATTATCTACCCTTCACACCAACTGGTGTTCTTTTCCTTCATGTTGGTGGTAATTATCAAAATGAGCAAACCAAACGGGATATGATTTTTTGAATCTTAGGTAAATTCACAGAAAAAAATGTGCAACAAACTAGATGATAATCAGCTAAGTGATGTAAATGAATGGTACGTGAGTGGCTATTGTTGCAGTGTTGCATGCAGTGTTGCTTTTGGAAGCTCCTGTGTCTTATTCATAGGTATGGGATCCCTAGGGATGCAGAAACACTCATAACGGAGACACACAGTTAACATGTGTGCACACAGAGTCAGGGTAACTCACAATGCAAATGACCAATATGATTTGGCATTTGTTGGCACAATTACCTGACTCGTGCACATGATTGCAGTAAGCAGGCATGCAAAACACATATGCTAATGTAATATAAGCTTCTGGAAATTTAGCTCTACAATGAAGATTTTCTATGGCACTTACTGCACGATGACCAAAAAGCACTGTACTGAAATTGAACTGAAATTAGCATGGGCAAAATGAATCCTAGAATCCTAGGGCTGGAAGAGACCTCAGGAGGTCATCGAGTCCAGCCCCAGCTAAATCAACCCAGCCAGGGCTTTGTCAAGCCAAGACTTAAAAACCTCTAGGGATGGAGATTCTACCACTTCCCTAGGGAACCCATCCCAGTGCTTCCCCACCCTCCTAGGGAAATAGATTTTCCTAATATCCAACCTAGACCTCCCCTTGAATACAGTGGAAGTTTAGCCTGAGTACAGAGATCAGCAGTACTCCTTCCTAGATAGTCGCTTCCCAGTCTGTGTGAAACTGATTTTTCCTTACTAAGTGGAGTACTTTGTATTTGTCTTTATTAATCTTCATCCTATTTACCTCAGATCATTTCTCTTGTTTGTCCAGATCATTTTGAATTTTCATAATGAATCCTACTTTCCATATGATTACTAATGTTCAGAGAGGAATGATTTAAGTTAATTACGCCTGTCTCATGCTAGTTTATTGAAAGGTAGGCAAAACCTTCCAGCACCCAGTTTGATTTTGGGAGGCATTAACATTTGGAGGTTGACCAAAAATGGATCTGAGCCACTAATGTAATTAAGCATGCACTTAACTTGAAGTATGTGGTTAGCTTCATTATAATATCAACAAAATTTAACTTTGGAAATCCCCTTGAACTGTGGAAAAGGCCAGATTCAGCCATAGGCCTGCTCAAGTGCTTAAAATTAAACAAACACTTGAATGTTTTGCTGGATCAGGTTCAAGTTCAAGTCTGAATCTAAACTTATCAAAGTTCAATTGGGTTTGGATTGGATGTTTGGATTTGAATGTATATTAGAGAGAGGGATCTGAGCTATTAGAGTTCAGATCTCAATCCAGATATGCACTTCCATGTGCCCAAACCTCTCACTTCTGGGCCTAGAGGTTTTTATATGCCAATTAGGTGGGGTAGCCAAATGAATCCGATGTTCCATTGCCACTTTAGCTCTAATCTCTTTTTATTTTGATTGGAAATGCTAACATGGGGCTCCCTTAACCCCACTGAAAATGTCCTACACCGTAATGTTTGTTCAATGAAATGGCAGCTGGTGGATTATTTAAGTTTTGTGCCTTGGAAATTAGAGAGGGGCATTGCTTTAGGCATCCGCTAACTTTGCGAAGCAGTGGAAGTTAAAGAAAGCCACACTTGTGTTAATATTGCTATTCCACTGCAAAGAAGAAAATTTAGCATGATCTCTCTCCAGTGCCTTATTAACTGCCTGCTTTCAGTTATAACATTTATCTGCTGCAGATTGGAAGTGATATATTTTCACTCCTTGCAAACAGCTGTTCTGGAGTTTTAATTACGTGCACCATTATAAAAAGAATCCCAAATCAAAACACTTGGGGGGGGGGAGATTATTTTTCTCCCCCTTTAAAAACCACAATTTGTGTTTAGATTTATCTCTATAAACAGGATATTAGAGAAGCAAATGTGATAACACTTACTTTAATGAGTGCTTCATGTCTAATCCATTTTAGCATTTGGATGCTCTCAGCTGGCTTCTGCAGTAATTACATTTCCATTATCTTTAATTCATAACTTGATCTTTCATTACAAGCAATTTCTTCCTTTCCTTTTTGTAAAAAAATATTTTTTATTTATTGCTTGTATTTATGCCTTTGATGCACTTTACTCTGGGAAGTTCTAATACTGGGTCTAGTATCAACAGCATTCTGGCTGGGTTTTTTGAGAGTGAAAGAAAAATGCAGACAATTTGCACTGTGAAACCTCCAAGGGATGATGCTATTACCTTGAAGGACTCCCGCACAGTTTTTCCCTCTCGGAGTGAATTTTTCATTCAATGTACATTCATTCACGGATGCAGAAAAAAAAATCACACTGAGGTTTCCTTGCATAATGGCTTTGGAGAACAGTTCTTTAGGAAATGAGGAACGTTTTTATCATGCTATCGGCTCAGATATGCAGACCCAATTACTAAGCAACGGTCAATAAAAAAAATCCAGGCTTTCTCCCGAGCAGCTAGAGAAGTGGTATCTTCATGTGCAACTCTCAAAGTGCTGGGGAAAAAGCTGATGGGTGAGGAAGTAATTTTTTTTTTTTGGAACATTCCACTGTGATACAGGACGAGACGTTTTCCTTCTCTTTATATCGCGATATATGTCTGGTAAGTCTTAAGTCAAGATCTGGAAATAAAACAGAGTTTTTCAAAGAGAATGTAAGGACTTTAGGAAAATGGCACTTGCTATGGTAACCTTGATTAAATAATATACAAACATGAGATCGGGTCACACTGTTCAGAGCAGAATTTCCAGCTGGTTTCCAAAGTCGGTGCAATATCCCCCAAATTCCTTGCATTCCCTCTGAGAAACTCTGATTATTCTCACATCTGAGTGAAAGACTTTGGATGGGAGCTCACAGTTTCAAAAACAATCTTGCGTATGCGAGTGTGTGTGTGTGTACACGTGTGCAAGGCAGGACAAAGCCAGGGAACAAAGAGGAGGCCATGGAACCACAAAGTGACAAATGAATTGAACTTCATACTGGTTAACACAGATCAAGATAACTGCCAGCAATGAGTTCCACATTCAACTTGAAGTGTGTAATTTCTATTTCACCAGCACTACAGCTGCTCTGTCAACCTTACATTCAATTATATTCAGCAATTCAGGTCAATGCCAAACCGGTTTGCCCTGCTAGCTTGCTGCCAATACATAGAGCTTTTTCATTGGATAAGAAACAAATATGTCAAAGTCATGTGCCTAACTGCTAGCACGCAGCGCAAAACCATGTTGTCATGGCGATTGCTTCCGATGGAGAGTGAATAACAGGAAGTTATTCAAGCAACCTACCTGAGATATTTTTCTCTTTTAGGGGCTGAGGATAGGTAAAAGCCTGCTGATATAACCGTTGTTTCCTATGTTACCCAAAGTGACAGACAGCTGCTTGAACAAAGTGAGTGGCAAAGGATGTGGAGAGATCTCCCATCCATCTCCAGCAATTAAGAGCATGACCTTTATGTTGGGACCCAGGAACTCTGAAATATCTAAGCAGCTCATACCTATTTTTAATCCACTGATGGGATTTTTATAAGAAGTCTGTGAAGGCTAGTGCATTTCTCGAGGATTTGTTGTAAACCCAAAGAGCCTTAAAGATGAATGGAGACAATTTTTTTACAAGATGCAGGCAAAGTTCCAGACCAGAAACAGTGTCTGTTTACACTGGCTTCACCAAAAGACCAGGGTCCACTCACAAGGCCCTTTTGCTCATCGAGAGAGGCACACAGGGGACTTAAATCTGCTTTAAGGTAGTGCTGTGGATTCTTCTGCCACAGGCATAGTTAGAGCTGGTCATGGCTCACCTCTCCTGGTCTAGATAGTTCCTTCCCAACATACAGGGGGTGGGAACTTGTCAGGAGGTAGACCATAGCATGATGTGCCTCAGATACCTTGATTGAGACAGCAGTTCCTTGGGATTCTGTTCTTACTTGTTTTGGGGTTAATTCAGTCTTCCAGAGACTCTAGGATCAGGGGGCAAGGAAGGTATTGTGAAGACGCTCACACCTTCCCACTATGGTGCACTGAACTTTGTTTTGGTCCCCCTGCGTATCTAGTTCCCAACTCCTTTTTCAAGCTATATAAGAGTTCTGATCTTCAGATACACCGAGCTCTCATTGGCCATGTCTACACTAGGAAACTATTTCGAAATTACTAAATTCAGCTTAAGAACTCCTGCTTTAACAAATTCGAACTAGAGTGTCCTCACTACAGGGAAGCATCAAAATTAATCCAAGGCAAGCTCTGTTACTGTGAACATGCTACCTCAGACTTATAGCCCCAGAAAACAGTCTAGGGAGTGCAGGAGGCCTTCCAGCCCTGGTCTGCACTAGGGAGTTATTTTGAAATAGTAAGCGGAGCGTCCACACTACCCAGCCCATTATTTCAAAATAACAGGCTAGTTATTTCAAAATCTCTACTCCTGCTTTCCTCAGGGAATAACGCATATTTCAAAATAGTTATTTCAAAATAGCATTAGTGTGGATGCTCCACTGCTGCTATTTCAAAATAAGTATTCTCCAGAGTCATTCAAAGTAGTTACTTACCAGTGCTTCCTGGGGCTCTAAGTCGAGGTAGCACATCTAGAATAACAGAGCCTGCCTTGGACTAAATAGCATGTCCCCATAGTGGGGAGTTATTATTTTGAATTTAGATATTCTGAAAGAATTTCCTAGTGTAGACATGCCCCTGGAGGCCAATAAATTCAAATTGGCAGCACTGGAGTGTCCACGCTACCGTTATTTCAAGACTACTATTTCAGAATTAGTGTTACTCCTTGTGAAAAGTAGGAGTACAGAGTTCAAATTCCATGGCCCATTATTTTGAAATAACAGGCTTGGTAGTATGGATGTACTGCTTATGAATTCATACTTGGGGGGGGGGTTATTTTGGAGTAAGTTCCTCATGTCGACCAGGGACTATAGAGCCATTAAGAAAAACAGATGGTAGACCAAAGGCAGCCACATGCAATGCTAGGACTCATTTGCAACAGAATGTGTTTCAAATTCACTAACTGGGAGGCTGTTTTCCTCCTGCAATTTAAACTAAAACCAGATATAATGCTGGGGAAGGCAAGAGTTAAAAGAGAAGCAAGGGAAAAGAAAGAACAAATAAATGGGAAAACAAGAAGAGCAGCCTAGGAAACTATGATTCATTGAACAATTGATGTGAGATTCAAATCATAATGTTCCAAGCCCTGGTACCTTTTCCTTGGCTTCCGACAATGCACCACAGTCAATGAATGCAAAAATAACTCTACAAATGGGATTGTTTGCAAGTCTAAGTGGGAGTGCTTTGGGAAATGGCTCTGCTTCAAGGAAGAGGGAAGAAAATATGGTGATAATTATTAAATCCCTAGTGCCTGATAGTATCCATTCCGCTTTGCCGTGTTTATTTTTGGACAAATTATGGCTCGTTCTTGAAAATAAAATAGCAGATAAGGCTTTAAAGCAGCTGGTCACTAGACAGAGGAATTGTTAAAGGGTACATCTGTTCGATGTGTGTTGTGTGTCCCAGTCTGTGCCAGCTTCAAACAGGATCTGTTACAATGGCAGGAAACTAGCCTGCTAGCTCAATTTGAGACAGGCTTGCTCTTTAGCTCTGCGGGTCCCCAGTTCAAGCCCTAGGGATTATGGTTGTGCTGGACACAGCTGCATTGAGCACAATGGTACATGTGTGTTTTCAGTGGCACGTGGAATACAGACGTTGCTTGCCTTCATTGCCTGGGTATCACAGCATAGATGGTGAGACATGGCTGAGTAGAGCAGAATGTTCTCTGTGCCTGAATTGTCAGGGGGTAGCCTACATGGGCTCTCTCCATACACATGTCTACACTGCAGGCTTTTTGCGCAAGAACAGCCGTTCTCCCACAAAAACTTGCAGAGCGTCTACACTGCATGCACGTTCTTGCGCACATAAATTTACAGTAAAGCGTTGTAAAACAGGGCTTCTTCCAGAAGAGTTATTCCTCTCCCAACAAGGAATAAGCCCTCTTGCACAAGAGCTCTTCCACAAGAAGGCAGTATAGACAGGCAACATGAATTTCTTGTGCAAGAAACCCCTATGGCTAAAATGGCCATCAGAGATGTCTTGCACAAAAGAGCGTCCATACTGCCATGGACGCTCGTGCACAAAAGCACATCTCTTCCACAAAAGCACATGGTAATGTGGACGCACTTTTGTGGAAGACCATTTACACAAGAACTCTTGTGCAAAATGGTTCTTGTGCAAGAAGCCCGCAGCGTAGACATAGCAAGACAGATCTTCACATAGGATTGTTCTGCTTTCTCCTTGATGTTGGAGACTTTCCCCGCCATCTCTTCCCTGGGTTAGCCATTCAGTGCAGGGTTGCTACACATGTAATGCCTGCAGGGGCAGCCCGAGGTGGGCTGCTGGCAGTTGGTGCCCCAGGTGGAAGGCACGATCGGCACCCCCTCCTCCACAGACCTCAATGACACGAAGTCATCATTGGGCACCCTGTTTAACGCGGCGCCCTAGGCGACAGCCTAATCGGCCTATACGCACGGGCTGCCCCTGAATGCCTGAATTCTACACTCCCCCATCAGCATTAACATGATTATGGAGCAGTTTGCACTTCTGGCCCCTTTCTGGTCTCTCTGGGGATGAGTGACCGTGTTGACAATCCTGGGCTGGCCCGGCTCCTGCTAGCACTCTCAAAATGGTTGGTGAAGTTATGGCTCAGGATCTGAAGCCTAAGGTGGTGGGAGAAGGCTCCAAAGGAGGTGGGTGATCTGTGGGACACCTAATTCCATGCAGAACACAATTTGCGCACCTGGAGAAAAAGGTCAGTTTCGGAGCTTTTGGTGCATGTTTTGCACTTCTCACATTTATTTCAATTTTTTTTTATTGGACATTGGAGTTAACCTAAGAGTGGACATGGTTCTCATATAGCAACTTTGTGCCTTAGAGAATTTGGCTACATCTACACTGGCGGCTTCTTGCGCAAGAACTCTTTTGCGGAAGTGTTCTTGTGCAAAAACTCTTCCACAAGAGAGTGTCTACACTGTCGTGCTTTTACACAAGAGATGTGCTTTTGCCCAAGAGCATCCATGGCAGTGTAGACGCTCTCTTGTGCAAGAAATCTCTTATGGCCATTTTAACCATAGGGGCTTCTTGCGCAAGAAATTCATGTTGCCTGTCTACACTGCCCTCTTCTGGAAGAGCTCTTGCGCAAGAGGGCTTATTCCTCATGGGGAGAAGAATAACTCTTCTGGAAGAAGCCCTGTTTTACAACGCTGTACTGTAAATTTACTTCTGGAAGAATGCTCGTGCAGCGTAGACAGCCAGCAAGTTTTTGCGGAAGAACAGCTGTTCTTGCACAAGAAGCTGCCAGTGTAGATGTAGCCTTACAGACTAAACAGCTTTAGGTAACATAAGAACAGCCACACAGGGTCAGACCAGAGGTCCATCTAGCCTAGTATCCTATCTTCCATCAGTGACTAATGCCATATGTGCCTAAGGAAATGAACAGAATAGAGAGTCAACAAGTGATCCATTCTCTGTCGCCCATTCCCAGCTTCTGACACACAGAGGTTATGGACACCATTCCTATCCATCCTGGCTAATAGCCACTGATTGACCTATCCTCCATGAATTTTTCTACCTCTTTTTGAATCCTGTTAAAATCTTGGCCTTCACAACATCCTCTGGCAAGGAGTTCCAGGCTGTGTCTAGACTACATGGCTCCATCGATGGAGCCATGTAGATTAGACAGATAGGCAAAGGCAAATGAAGCCGCGATTTAAATGATCGCGGCTTCATTTAAATTTACACGGTTGCCGTGCTGAGCCGACAAACAGCTGATCAGCTGTTTGTCGGCTCAGCGCGCTAGTCTACAAATCCAGTACTTCTTCATACAATGCACAGTCAAACTGTGGGGGTACGTCTAAACTACATGGCTCCGTCAACGGAACCATGTAGATTTGTGTTTTTGGCAAAGGCAAATGAAGCCGCGATTTAAATGATCGCGGCTTTATTTAAATTTACACGGCTGCTGCGCTGAGCCGACAAACAGCTGATCAGCTGTTTGTCGGCTCAGCGCAGCAGCCGTGTAAATTTAAATAAAGCCGCGATCATTTAAATCGCGGCTTCATTTGCCTTTGCCAAAAACACAAATCTACATGGTTCCGTTGACGGAGCCATGTAGTTTAGACGTACCCCCACAGTTTGACTGTGCATTGTATGAAGAAGTACTGGATTTGTTCACTTCACCCATCACCAAGACAAACTCACCTCTGGGACTAGATGTGGGTGTCATTATAAAGGTGGGCATAGCACTTTGAAGACAGGAAGTGAACTTCTTATTCAGTTAAGAAGCGGGGTTTGTACCCCCAGCAAAGTGGGGTTTGTACCCCCAGCTAGAATTTGGATGTGTATTGATCCTCTTATTGGAAACCACTGCTAGTCTTGCAATACATACCATAAGTTCTTTAATGAATGACTATGAACAGTCCAGACATTGGCTTTCAGTCTCTCCTAAAAGATCATTGTACTGAAAAACAAAAACACAAGATGCTTAAACAATTTGAGCAAAGATTTTTGCAATAACCTCCCTTTGTCTCTCAAGCAGTAGGAGACTGGTAGGAGATATGGCCAGAATTTGCATGCTGGAATCTGGAGCATGAATAATTCGATGTGCTAGACCTGCTAGGATCTGATGTTTCCTTTATAATGTTCATACAATAACAGCAGCTGGTGAGGGCTGAAAGAGCTTTCTGGCTGGTCTGTTTTAAAATTAAGCCAGGTATTGGGTATCTGGGATAGGTTCACTGGGCAAACCATGATGTTAGCAGTTATTGATGGCATAATAGCGCCAGGTGTGTAAAATTTTGTAAACCTTATGCCAAATGATGAGCTATTCCTCTGTTCCCAGTAACTAGAATCACAACGAACAGGCACGGATGGGAGAGAAGAAGCTGATTAAAGCCCTGTCCAATAACAACATTCCCCAGCCCTAGAATCTCAGGGGTCAGTGTTAATGAGCAGGATCCACGAGGAAGTGGGCGCGTTTGATGTCGTTCGTGCTTCCTGCCACTGAAACAGAGCCAGATTGTGAAGTGAAGGAAAACAAAGAAGCATGGTAGCTGATGGAAAGCAGTGCCGCTTCAAAGCCATCACGCAACAGAGAGATGGTGGCACTGCAGGGGAGTTTCCCACCGACAAACTGGCCAAGAGATTAGAAACTGTTTGCAACGCCACACTGAGGGAGGGGTAGTCAGCTGCCGCGGAGGAGAAATGCTATAAGGCAGGTGTGCTCGCTGGGGGTAGGCAGCAGCCTGCAGTGCTACAAGCAGGGGGAATGTGGAGAGGTTTGGGATCTGCATCCACTCTTGTGGGCTGCATAGCTCAGGGTGACAGGCTGTGCTCCTTGAAGTCAATGGCACGCATGCCTGTTGACTTTAATGGGGCAGGATTGCGTCCTGGCCTCCTATCCTGGCCTCTTTTTCCCCGTGTCTCGGCATTGCCTTCCCAGACTGCATGCTGCTCCCTGTGGCCAAGAGAAGCCATTTGTCCTCCTCTTGTCTCCACCCCAATCCCAGCCTTCCAAAAACAAGCTGATGTGGTGCAGGCCCCTTTCTGGGTCATTCACAAGAAGCAGCTGTTCTCTTTGTAGGGGATGGGTTTGCAGAGCACAGACCCCTATAGATCATCCACAGAGAGATCTGATGGCACAAGCTTTTCTCATTCCCACCAGGGATTTCCCTCCCCCCTCCTCCTCTTGTCTCCACCCCAATCCCAGCCTTCCAAAAACAAGCTGATGTGGTGCAGGCCCCTTTCTGGGTCATTCACAAGAAGCAGCTGTTCTCTTTGTAGGGGATGGGTTTGCAGAGCACAGACCCCTATAGATCATCCACAGAGAGATCTGATGGCACAAGCTTTTCTCATTCCCACCAGGGATTTCCCTCCCCCCTCCCCAAGGGGTGTATACCCCCCTGAATTTTCCCAACACCCCCCCCCAGTTTTGTGAACTATGGTGCCGTACAGCCCACCTTCACCCTCACAGCCTCACCCCTCATCAGCCCTGACACCCCCCCTCATTTCAATTCTTGGGGAGGCTACTGATTCCCATGCATGGAAAGACACATCTGTCTCCTTTCGCCTGTTCACGCAATGGGATCCTGGAGATGAGGCCTCCTCTCTTCCAGGGTTTCTGGGCACGGGCTTCTCAAGTGCAGAAGCTTCCTCCCTGGCTAGTACTGCCCACAACGTCATGACACGGCAGTGGAGTTAGTCACCCCAGCATCACAATGCAGTGATGCACCATGGTGAAGCATGGCCTCATTCCTGGTGAGCCAATGGTGAAATATAGTCCCTTTTCCCCAGCCAAACGGAATTCCCGATGGCTGAGAGTTGTACCATGGACTTGGACACCACTGCTTTGGGCTCCAGCTGCTGCCGTTCCCATTACCCATGCCTGCAAAGATGGAGAAACTTTGAATTCTGTAATTCAGTGACTGCAGGTGGTCACCTTCACAGCCTGTCTGATCTAAGTGGGCAAGCAATCAGCACAGAACCAGCAGTGGCAAATTGTCTGCAGTCTGTCCTAAGGCACATGAAAGATCTGTTCTGCATTGAGATGCAAAACAGCAAAGGGCATCCTGATAGACCTGAGAAGGTAACTGGTGTGGAATAAATTCCTTGGGCCAAATTAATCCCCTGTTTAAGTGCAGCTCTCCAAACTCCTGACAAGTGAACTATTACATTCTCTTTAATAGAACCGCCCCTCGCACATCCTACTGGCCGGGAACGGGAAACTGTGGCCAGGAGGAGCTGTTGGGGGTGGTGCTGGAAGAGAAAAGCAGCGTGCGAAGCCATGTGCCTCTTTACCCCCACTCCTGGGCCCACAAGGGCTGTTTGGCCCCTTCAGGAGTGACACGTAGAGCCCTGCTCAGGAGATGCAGCAGCCAAAGGAGGGGAGCCTAGTGTCACCACTCTGAGAGCCAGCGCCCCACACTGGCAGCTCCTCCCAGCTGTGCAGCTGCACCAGCCCCAGCCTGGCTACCAGCAGCACTGTACTAACCCAGACAGGAGATGCGGCTGGTGGTGGGGCAGGGGACAGTACAGCTGCATGGCCAGGAGATGTTAGCATGGAGCGCTGGCTTCTGGATGTGGCAGCACCATGTTCCTCTCCTTTGGCTGCAGCGTGTCCTGGGAGCAGAGCCCAGTAGATGAGTGGGTGCTAATGTCTATCTGCAGGTAGGCATTTGTATCTGTGCATGAGTCTATCGTGGGGTCGGAGCCTCAGCCTCCCTGTACCACCGACCTGGAGCCACTGGCGATAAGTGCCACCCTCCAGGAGCCCACACCACAGCCCCCAGTCCTCTCCCAGAGCAAGCACCCCCTCTTGAACCCCTACTCCAGTACTGCTTCCCTCCCAGCAGCCCACATCCCTACCCTGACCCTCCTCTGATAGCCAGCACCCCAAAATCCCATCCCAACACTGAGCCCTCTCTCATAGCCAGCAACCTGTACTCTCTCCTGAACCCTCCTGCAACCCAAGTATCTGCCCCAACCCTGCCCCTCCCCAAGCCAGTGTAACCCAGATAGCTTCCTGAACCTGCACCTCTGGAGCTTATTGCATGAGCCTCTACCACTTGAGCTAAAAGACAGCTAGCTCTCAGCTAAGGCTGTAAAGAACACTCATTCTCTCTCTAAGTTGTCTAAGTGCCACTCCATGGGCCAGTGACCACACCCTGTAGCTATGTGGGTTACACCAGTGTTACATATTTCCTCCTTCATCCCAATCCCCAGCCTTTACCCCCTCTCACAGCTAGCACCCCACACCTCTGTGTGCACCCAATCCCCAGCCTGGAGTCCCATCCCAAGGCCAGCACCCATACCCTGGGAATGGCTAGCTCATTACAGTCAGTAATTTTCTCCTTTAAGTATTCTTACCTTCTTATCACTCTTGGAAGTGGGCCGCATCTATCCTAATTGAATTAGCCTCATTAGCACTGATGTAACACTCCCATCTCTGTATGCATGTATATACCCCTGCCAACTGAAGCTTCCACTTCATGCATCTAAGGATGTGAGCTGTAGACCATGAAAGCTTATCCCCTAGTGTCCTAATACGTTTTTTTAGGCCTTGTCTATACTGGCACGTTTTGTTGACAAAACAGTGAAAGCGTACAAACTACAATGCAACTTTTGTCGGGAAAAACACCTCGTTTTGGCAACAAAAAGCTTCCACCTCTGTGAGAGACTTTCCCCTGCCCTTTATTGTTGACAAAGAGCTAGTGTGAGCTTGTTTTGTCAAGAGAGCTAGCTTCTGTGAATGCTCACCACAATGTTTCTGTCAATGCCTCCCACAATGCTTGCCCTGATGGCCCTGCTCAGTGTTTTGTGATCTCTGGTGCCCTGCAAGCATGCACCCCTCTCCCCTTTCAGAGCTCCAGGAAGTATCTGGCAGCTGAGTGAACTGTTCCATTTGGTAAACAAAGAACAAATAGTTGGAATGCTCCTGTTCTGCCTTGCTAGGAACACAGTGGCAGGGGGAGAGCTGGAGAGACTGCTCTGCTGCTTTGAGATTCCTCAGCATCGAGAGCTCACAGAGCTGTGAGGAAATCCCAAGAAATGCAGGGATCAGCTCTGCCTTCCCCCAGCACTGCACTGTGGGATGCTCATTGCACATCCCCATTGCTTTGCTCTTATCTGGTGACAGGAAGCTAGCAATGTGGCCATGAAATGCCAACAATAGGAGGCAGAAAAAAATGGTTTGACCATTTTTCACTTTTGGCAGCTTTTGCATGTCAACAGCACTTTTGTCACTGAACCTTCCCAGTGTAGCCATAGCCCTAGTCTTTAGGGTGTCACTGGAAACTGTTTGTTTTTGCTGAAACAGACTAATGTGGCTACCTCTCTGAAACTATCAGAGAAGAGACATTCGTAATGAGAGCAGCCTTCTGTTTAACGATGACCTTAACGAATTAGACATGCAGAACACCAATAACATTGGTTTGTCTAATTAGATTAATAAAATAGGAGTGGAGCCTCTTTATTTTCCTGCAGATTTACAGCATGTGCATCCCAAAGGGCAGCACCCATATGGCTTTGGGAGGCACCTCAGGGACAGCTCCTTTCCCTATGCACCTACAGTCTAGCTAGGAACAGCTGAGGCTTTATTAACAGTACCTCCTTATTAGGCTGACCAGATGTCCCATTTTTAAAGGAACAGACCCGTATTTAAGCCCTCCTGCAAGGTGTCCCTACTTTTTTAAAAAAAATGGGCCAATTGACCCATATTTTTGCCTCTCCTCTCCCATTAGTGCTGGGGAGTCCTGTTGCCGGCTGGATCCTTGCTCACCAGCTGGCCACTCACCAGTGGGCATGAATAAAGCTGGTGGTTGGGCACAGCTGCAACGTATGGAGCCGACCACTCCCCCGCTGGCCCATCAATGCAGTCCCTGCTGTGTGCCTCCTCTTAGGAAGCAGGCCCCCCTCACCTGCTGTCCCACTGCCGGACATCACTTGGTGTGGTGGTTGATGAGTGTGGGCTAGCAATGGGCAGTTCAGTGTCATCTCTGCTGCCCACCCATGGCCCTTTACCTGCTTCCCCCCTCACTGTCCTCTCCCTGCTGTGCCCCTTCACCCTCCCCTACCCAGTCTTGCTGCTTTTCCATATTCCCAGCCTAGCAGGGTGTGCCCTGCTCCCGGTGCTGGGGGGAGAACCAACCCCTGGTCAGATCATTCCATTCACTAACAGTCTGGCTGGCCAGCTCCTCCCTTCCCCCGCTGCCGCTGTCTGGGCTGGCACCAGGGAAAGCTCAAGACCCTACCGTCCAGGGCACTGTCCAGGGCACCAAGTGATATCCGGCAGTAGGAGGAGCCATGCCCTGTTTATGCCAAAGCCCCACACAGCACTAGCTCAGCAAAGCTCCTCTGCCCCTCAGCTAAGCTCTGCAGAGGGGGGAGGAAGCTATTTCCAGTCTGTTTGTACCCTGATGACTCCACAGAGCCCCCAGGCCAGGGTGCTTAGCATCCTCTTCACTCACTGCCCCCACCCTAAGTTCTGCCCCCAGGACATGCAGGCCTGCTTTGTGCCCTAGGCACCCTCTCTGGCCAGGTTGACTGAAGCTCCTGCAGACAGATTCTCTGAGCCCTAGAGCACAATGCATCCCTTAGGGCTTAACCCCTTCCTGTCTGAGTTTCAACAGGGCTCCGATTACTGAAAGGAGGGCAGTCTCAGATGAGAGGTGGATCATTGCCTTCAGGGGTCCCATTGCCTGGTTTCTGTCCGAGTCACTTTTCTGTTGGGTCCCATGTCCCAGCTGGGTTTCCTCACCTCTAACATAGCAGCCCTTTGTAGAGCCGGTAAATCCCCTTCCTGGCCAGCTGGCCGATGTCCTTGGTTGGGTCACGGATGGACCATTACAGCAAAGCCACCAAGCTTCCTAGTTTGGGAAACTGTGCTGAGTTCTAATGGAAGGGAAGGAGAGGGGGCTCCATCAGCTTCTACTGTCAGCTCCCAAACTCCCCTGGGCTAGGAGTCTTTCTCCTCTAAGACTCTCTGCTGGAGACACTGCGGGAGAAGAGCTATAGCTAAACCCTCAGCTCCTTCTGCTCCCCAAGGGATCCTTGAGCAAGGGTGTGGACAGGGCCCTTTATGAGGACTTGTACCTCCAGGAGGACAAGAAGGGACCCAAGGCTGGGCATGAGCCTGGTTGGAGCTGGGATTGGAACATGGTGTCTTTAAAGTCTCAGAATCTCCACTGAACAAGGAGAAGATGAACTTGACTCAAGTCTGTCTCATTCCCTGCTCTGACTCTGCCTTTCCAAGAGGACACTCACAGCCCCTGCAGCTGCAGGTCCTACAGCCTACTGAGGCCAGCCTGGCGTCAGGAAGCCAGGGTCAGAGGTCACTTATGTCAAATTCAGGGAGTGGGATAGTGAATGAGAAGTGGGCTCTGCTGCTCCTCACGGCCTTGGCTCTCTCCTGGGACACGCTGGACCTGATGCAGAAGCTGACACACAGTGGGAGAAGGAGGCAGGTCAGGATCAATAGACCGGCGCGCATGCTGTGCAAGCGGGCCCACTCCCATCCCTGGGGCTGAGACTTGTGCTCAGAGGGTAATATCTGGTTCACTGGTCATAGCGCTTGAAAAGGGGATTGTCACAATTTGCTTTTGCCTCGCAAGACTGGGACAATGCTCAGCGTCTGGCCTCGTCCCGTCCTTTCTGAACTCCTGATTCACGGACAGCTCATCAGACTGGAGACAGACCTCTTGCCCCATGTTGGCAGGAAAGCCCTTGATCAGAGTAAGGGTGTGACTGAGGACAATTCTTTCCCACCCTCCGAATCTCAGTGCTGGTAGGAAGGAAGCGCTGACTCCCTTCCGTAAGCAGCATCTCCTGGATCTCATGATGGAAGTGGGGGAGGTTGGGCAGGTGATTTGAGGCTTTCGCTCCGAAAGCCAGCCAGGACCCTGACTTGAAGTTCCATTTTCTTCTACTGTCCCTGAAGGAAAAAAGGCCCAATATAGGACTGTCCTGTTTTGACCAAGGATGGCCCAATGGGGTGCAGGCTAGGAGGACAGACTGGTAAATGGATTCCCAGTCTCTCCTTTCAAGTTGCCCCGAGAACTAAAATAAAACTTCCCCCTGCCTCCACCTCCAACCATGCTCACGCCCATGCTGTATGGAGCTTGTCCATTTCTGAGGGCTCTGCCAGCAGTTTCCCCAGCATGACATGCCTAAGGCCAGACAAGGCCTTCTGAAAAGGAAGGGGAAACCATGGGTCACAGTTGGAAAATTGGGAAAACTTCTCCATGTCAATATCTCCCTGCTCGGTCAATCAGCATTGATATTCTAAGAAGTGGGAGGCTAAGAAGTCTCAGCAGATGTTTCAAAGAATGGCCCCGGTCACCACCAGAGGGGATCAGTCTCAGAGCAATTCCAGACCCACCTCTTTGGGACGACCTCCCACAAAACTATAAGGGAAGAGTGTCTCTGAAGTTGTCCCTGCCTTGCATCTGTGTCCTGCCTGGCTGATGTCAGAGTCTCTCTGTGAGGTCACCATCTCCCCACCACTGTCCCCCAATAGGCTGAGGTCCTGCAACAGGCCTTTGTGATGTCACTGCCACACCTACCCCCTCCCTTCTAAGGCTGGTGTCCTGACCTTGGGCAGCATCTCTGGATGTTTGAGCAGCTTTCCCGGTTCATCCCACTTCATGACAGCTGAGTCTGGGGATCAAGCTTACTGCACACTAAAGCCCCAGAGGCTGCTCCTCAGCCACACTCAGTTTGTCATTTATTAGTAGACGTTAAGAACAGAAGGGACCTTTAGAGTATCTAATCTGACCCCTGAATATCCCAGCCCTCCTGCATATCACAGTAGATAAGTTTATCCAAGCACTCACCAGAAAGGCATCTAGTCTTCATTAGAGGACATCAAGAAATGGGGAGTCTGTCACTAGCTTTGGTGGTTTGTTCCAATGGTGACTCATCCTCACTGTGCAATATTTGTGCCTTATTCCTAATATGAATATGTCTGTTTTCACCTTCCAACCACTAGATTTTGTTCTGCCTTTTTCTGGAACATTAAACAGCCTCTAATACCTCCAGGAAGGCACTTAGACACTTCCATGGAGTCACCTCTCAGTCTTCCTTTGGCATTGCTGTGGTGTTCAGTGGTGAAGGGGCTCCACACGACTAGGGAATGCTTCAAAGGGGCTTGAGGACTGGAGTGCTCCTGTTTTTGCCCTGCCTGGGCAAAAGAAAGAGTTCAGCCTCCAACCCCAGGATCTGGCTTCACACCCCCACTCTGCCAAACTCTCTGCATGGTCTAATCCCACCACTTCCAGGTTTGCACAGTGGGCATGAAACAGCCCCATCTCCCAGGTGATTTCAGGTGGCTCATGTGTCCTAAAGGAGGAGGGAGGGGCTCATCTGCACAGCCTTGGGGGGGGGGGGGGGTGTCCCATCCCCACCTGCTGCCCATTCATTGCGTTCGCTCTCTGCCCCATGCAAGTGCTCAACAACCACAATTGCCATGTGTGGAGATTGGAATATTTCCACTTCCTGTGGTTTCCACACAGCCAGGACGTCAGCGTCATCAATCAGGACCATGCCAACAAAGCACAGCCCGGTCCAGCTGCAGTCCTTCCATCCTGCCCAGGGGTCCAGGAGGGACACATGCGCTGGCAACAGTCCAGAATCGGTTGAGATGCAGCTCCAGACCCCAACGTGGAGGAAACCACCATGCTGGAGAGCACCCGTCGTGTCACAGGGAGGGTCAGGCTCAGGGCGTTTTGCTAGACTCCTCTCCCAGGGCTGGCATCACCTCTCTTTTGGCAGACTAAAGAGGGCCCTGCCTGGCTGGTGCTTGGTGGAGTCTCCCAGCGCACTGAAAGGACTGGTGCTGATGAGTTGGTGGCATGCCGAGTCACTCCCGTAGGGGGTGCTGTGCTGCCACGGGTGTCCTCCTATGGATGGGAGGTGTGACTGAATCCCATATCCTGGGTGACCAGATGTCCCATTTTTAAAGTGACAGTCCCATATTTAAGCCCTCCCGCCGGTATCCCTACATTTTTTTTAAATGGCAAATTGACCGGTATTTTCTGTCGTGTCCCTTCCACTAGTATTGGTGGGTCCTACTGCTGGCTGGATCCTTGCTCCCCTGCCACCCACCCACTAGTGGTCGGGGGGGTCCAGTGGCTGACAATGGGGGTCAGCGTGCAAGGCTGATGGTCAGGCAAGCTGCAGCGTACAGGGCTGGCTGAGCCCCCTGCTGGTCCATCAGTCCAGTCCCTGGAGCATGCCCACTCTTGGTCAGCAGGCCCCCTCTAGTCCCCACCCTGCCTCATTTCCAGCCAGCACTGGGCTGGTGGCTGCTGCAGTGGCAGGCAGGTGGTGGCTGGTTACATGTCACCTCTGCTGCCCACCCATTGGCTCTTTACATGCTTCCCTCTTACTGTCCACTCCCTCTTGTGCCCTTTTACCATCACCCTCCCAATCCCCCTGCTCCTCCATATTCCCCTCCCCACAGCGGGGCTCCTGGCTCTGTGTGGAGAACCGGCTGCTGGTCAGATCATTCAGCTTCCCAACAGCCTGGCTGTCCGGCTCCTTCCTCCCCCTCCTCCCCACTGGCACTGGAAGCTCAAGCCCTCTGGCCCAGGGCAATAGCCAGGAGGAGCCAAGCCCTGCATGCACACAGCACTGGCATGGGGAAGCTCCTTTGCCCCTTAGCTAGGTTCTGGAGTGATGGGGAGGAAGCTATTTTGGACCTGATCTTGCAGTTCCACAGGCAACAGTGCTTAGCACTCTCGTCACACACTGCCCCTACCCTAGGTCCTTCCACCATGGAGTGTGGGGCTGCTCTGTCCCCTAGGCATCCTCCCCTGCTGAGCCATCTCTCTGGCTGGGTTGGCTGAAGCCACTCCAGTCAGGTTCCCTGGGCCCTGGTGTTGAAGGCATCCTTAGGGCTTAACCCCTTCCTGCCCACGCTGTAGCCAGGGGACAGGAGGCACCTGGGTTACGTCAGTGGCCAGCAGCTGCTTCGGGGAGTTAGCTGCCTTTCTACACTGTGCGGGCAGGAAGAGATAAGTTGCCTCTAACCATAGGCAAGTGGGGGATGGGAGGGAAGAGATGACCTCTGGAAAAACCTGGACCAGGCCACCCCTACCTCCATCTCTGTTCCACTGGGAGCAGCTCCTGTCCCTTCCCTCCCACACAGTGCCAAAAGGCTGCTGCTGGCCATTCTCTGGTGTGAACCCTGAGAGAAATCGCAGGAGGGGCCATGTGACCCTGGCATGTCCCCCACAAGTTGCCTTGAGAAGATGTGGCACCAGGTATCAGGAGAGGTGGGTCTGTCCCAGGAGCCCAGCCAGGCATGGAAGGCTGGATCAGGTCAGTTAGTCACCCCCATCCCCGGGTAAGAGAGGTATATGGGGCTGTGTGTGTGTCACCTCTCCCGTGCAAACCTTAAAGATAAGAAGGTAAATAAAAAGACTCTGCTATGCAGTATTTTTTTAAAGGGGCTCGGTGAACTTGCTGTTCATTTGAACATTTATGCTGCCTAGTTCTGATTGATTGTCACTGAACACACCTGAGTACGAGTAATTTTACCAGGTGTCCCATGCTCAGCATAGGGAAATATTGTCACTCTCCTTCTTGTGCACTTTTGGGGACCACCAGTGGAACATGGCCAGGGGGTGATTCCCTAGCTGCAGAATGAGGTCTCTGTAGAGGTCCCATGAGGCCATATTTACTGACGTCCAGACCTCCAGCTAGTATCATGATAAGGCCACATGGGCAGGCAAGTAAATAGGGAGATAAACAGAGCTATGGCCCATCTTAGGACTGATTCCTAGTGACAGAGCAAAGCTGGTGCCCAAAAGCTTCACAACACAAAATGTTTGTGAAGCTGAGAGTGAGGACTCAGCTCCAAGTGTCCAAACCATCGGCATAGCCAAGCTGTGACCATCACAATGGGCCCGGAAGATGAGTGGCGGGTTTCCCCCACGAGGGACTGTCGCTCAAGGGATTTATGTTGTGCACAAATGGACCCCTTTCCGGAGGCAGCTGTAGAGACAAACCATAGAGATCTCCAACATAGGGATGACAAAGGTATAATGAAACAGCCTGAGAGCCGCATCCAATAGAAATGGTGTAGACTGCACCACCAAGATCAGATGAAAACCGCTACCCAAGGGTACGTCTACATTACAACACTATTTTGAAATAACTAGTGCTATTCTGAAAGAACTTCGTCCGCATCTATACAGCAGGCAGTTATTTTGAAATAGTGTCAAAATACGGTCAGGCTGGAGACTTCTTAGTCTGACTCCTGCAACTCTCATTGTATGAGGAATAAGGGAAGTCAGAGGAAGAGTGCTCTATTTTGAAATAAGTGCTGTGTAGACACTCCCTATTTCGAAATAAGAAACACAATTGACGTAGCTCAATTTGCGTAGCTTATTTCACGTTAAGCCCTGAAGTGCAGACGCACCCAAAATGGCCCTCCAGCCACAATCATGAGTCTAAATGTTAACACTAACTGGTGGGCCAGCAAATGCTCCCTCACCAGAACAGCCGGATACTTAAACCTGCCATATTCTCAGGTAGCGCCCTGCAACTGAACAATATCACAGCTCTTCTTTATGTGACTCTGGCTAAGGCACATTTAAACATTTTAGGAAGCAAAAAGAGAAATCCATTCCATTCTAAAGATGCAAGTGAAACAATTTATATTCAGGAATATAACCCAAAAGGCTTGCTTGGGTTATCATGCAATGAAGAGGAACAGAATGTTTTAAGACGTTACTAAACAAGCGCTAATCATGCATTAAAAAGCAGAGTTTCCACGCCACATATCAGAATCTGGGGCTATGTATACACTATGGAGTTTTACCGGGATGCCAGAGGTATCCTGGAAAAACTCCATCGCGTCCAGGGAATGCATCTGCTCTCCCGACATTTTTTTCGGAATAGCAGACACGCTCTTTTGGAAGCCCTGTACATCTTGTTTTATGAGTTTCTGAAATTTGGCCCAGTGTAGATGGGCCAAATTTTGGAAAAGCCTCTTCAGAAAAAAAGGATCAGAAAAAGGTACACAAATTGCACTGTGTGTAATGTAGACAAAGTGTAGTGTAGACATAGCCTGGTTCTTCTACTAATGCATGCTTTCTTCACAGAAGTTGGTTCTCTGTCCATGCACCTGAATTAACTTTTAAGGTCTGTCATTCTTCCAGCTGAGCATTAAATGCAGGTCCATTAAAAAATACTGGGTCAGATAACATGTAACTGTTTCTTACCAACCTTAAAAAACTAGGGTGTTTAAACTGAAAAATGTGTGCTAGGAGTTTGGCAAGCTATTCTCACAATCCATGAAATTTCCACAAGATAAAATAAAATAAATGGTATGAACTGATAAAATTTACCCTGGAGTCCTGAAAGCTTCATTGTGATTGTGTATGCTATACTTTTCCTGCTATATATACATAGAGCAAGATACCTCTCTGTAGTTGATAGTCTATTGATTTCAATGGAAGTCAGCA